AAAAATACGTATAGAGTAATAAAAATAGGTATAGAGTAATAAAAATAGGAAAATACGTATAGAATAATGTACATTTTTAACACGTATACAAAAATGGTAATAAAAAAATATTAATGGTAGAGATGTTGAACATTAATGCAGCGAAACAAATTTGGGCTGATTCTTCATACCATAACTTGCATAAACGAAATTAGAAATTAAAATATAAACGAAAAATGCATACCGTTAATAAATCAATCCTTTTTAACCAGTTTATACGAATGGTAATAATTATTACCATATGTAATAATATGGTAATAATTTAAAATGGTAAATTTTAATTTCTAACTGGTTAAAATTTAACCAGTTTATATATGGTAATAATACTCTATACCATATATAAACTGGTTAAATTTTAATTTCTAATTACTCTATACATTCACCTCTATATGTAATAATATCTAATAACTTATTTCATTTAAAATGGTAATTAAAAACGGTAATAAAAAATATGTATAGAGTAATAAAAATAGGTATAGAGTAATGAAAATAGGAAAATACGTATAGAGTAATGTACATTTTTAACACATATATAAAAATGATAATAAAAAATTACGGAGTATTAATGGTAGAGATGTTGAACATTAATGCAGCGAAACAAATTTGGGCAGATTCTAATTACTACCATAATTACTCTATAACCAAACTGGTAATTAAAATTTAACCAGTTTAAAAGGATTGATTAAATTTTAAATACAGCGAAACAAACTGGTAATTAAAATTTAACCAGTTTATATATGGTAATAATATTATTACCATACGTATAACCAGTTTATACGAATAGTAATAATTTAAAATACGTATAGAGTAATTAGAAATTAAAATCTATACTTTATTTAAAAAGAGGTGAATGTTTTCCCGCCAAACATGAGATTCATATATGGAAAGTGTTGACAACAAAAATGATAGTTTAATTATTTGGCCTTATTGTTTTCTTTCTATTTTAAGTATGTTTTCATTTTTATTTAAATGTTACACCGTTTAAATACTTAAATTAAATTAATTTAAATTGTAGTGAACCATTGGGGAACTAAAGTATGGAAATAAAATACACTACCATTTAAATATTAAAATAAAATTAAAAAACTTTTATCTAATAAAGTATGAGCGGGATTAAAATCATTAATTTCAAAAACTACAAATTAATTATTTATTACAATTTACAAGCACGGACGTGTAAAAATGGTAAGTTTTCTAAAATAGATTAGAAAATATATATGGTACGGTAAGTAAATGATAACATTTAAATACAATAATAAAATAAAAAACTACAAATTAATATTAATACTATAATTTACAAGCATGGAAACATTTTAAAATGACA